TATTTGTGCAGTCTACGATGGTGGAGTTTGAGATTATCATGATTGTTTTTTTTTTACGAAAGTTTTCATCGTGATTTTTCTTTGTGTTATCGGGTGATTAGGATTGTTTTCATATGTCATATCATGTAACGACGACTCCACACCCTCCCGTATTTGAGTGAAAAAATGCTAATTGTTTCTTTTTTTTCACAAAAATGAATTTCGTCACACAAAAAAAAGGCTGGCATTTTGATGCATTTCTGCAGTCTGCGATAGTGGAGTTTGAGATTATCATGATTTTTTTACGAGAGTTTTCATCGTGATTTTTCTTCGTGTTATCGGGTGATTTTTTTTTGAGAGGTTTTCAAAAAAATTTTTTGTCCTTGTGCATCTTGGGCAAAAATTGTGTCCGATGAGGACAACATGCCAGGATTTGATGAGATTTTGGAAACAGCAAAAGTCTACAAAAGCTAGGAGAGTAGGGAGCTATGTTACACGAAAATTTTCTGGATGTTACTTGAACTTGTTGACACAGCGGCTCACCATTACAAGTGATCTGCGGAAAATGTTCAAGTACTGTACTTAGGAGCGGTCGTCACTTGTATAAGTCGGCGGGCACCGTTGGGAATTGTGCGTTACTCGAGCATTACACGAGCAACACTGGATGGTTGCTTGGATCAGTTGCCATTATACGAGCATTGTTGACATATTACCTGTAATCTGATTTTTTCGTGGACATTTGCCTACTGGAAACGCTAGCCAAGAAACGAACATCAGAATCATCAGCAAGTTGACCATCAGACCGTGTTATTTCGATCGTAGAAGCTTGTCATCCTCTTTTTTTGGCGTGGAGATATGTTGCGGCCAAACGGTATTTGACTGAAGCTTCTGGGTAACTGGATATCTTGGGTTATTTCAAAATTTGCAGTGCTGATTTTATCGTTTATTTGTTAATATCATGTAATATTAGGTACCAAGATAGTTATTGTGCTTAAACAAAATCATAAACGCTTTTCCAAGAATAAATATTAGCTAATTGTACAATATGTTGGAATTTAAACATGTGAAAAATCAGCAATAATATAGGATGATTTGATAATCAATAGAAAAGTTTTGAAATAAGTAGGAGAATCGAAGAGAAAATTTCGAAATAAGAATTAAGAAATTAGTAAAATTATTTTAAAAAAAAAACGTTTTAATAAAATTATTATAATGGTAAGAAATGTTTCGGTCCACTAAAACAAAACACAGTGCAAGAAAAACTGAAATAAAAATAATAATTCTAAACAGGAATGTTTCAGTAAGTCGGATGGGATTTAGATATGATCGATTGTCATTTCGCTTTGATATTTTATATTAAAATGCTGTTTCATAATAATCCGTCGTCCACTTACAATCGTATTTGCTTCTCTCCACAAATTCTGCTTATGCGTTTTTTTTGTCGATGTAGAGATGCTAGTTTCTTTTTAAATTTTTACTTTTTTAAAGTTAATTTAAAAAATTACTTTTTAAATTACCTTTTTTAAATTGCTTTTACTTTAAATTACTTTACTTTTAAAAAAAATTTTTTTTTAAATTTTTACTTTTTTAGAAGTAAAAATTCTAGGATTTTTCCAAATGATAATAGTAATTGTGATATGCAGTTGTAATCACTTTTTTTTTAAACATGTATTGCTTAATCTTTCATTCACGTACATATTTTTTTAATTATTGGTTTTTCTTTTGTTTTGTTCCAGAGAAGTTGTAGGATTTTTTTTTTTTGTGTATAACCTTTAAATCTTTTCCCATTTTTGAATTGATAATTTGTCTTACGATTGTTTTTACCTGGTGCATGATTTATGACGATGATGCGCAAGTTAAATGTAAAGCAACAACCGTTCATACAGTTAACGAATTGACTGCTTCAAGTTCGGCGCAAAAACGCCTGGCCCGTTGCGGTTCGGGTCTTTTTTTTTCAAGTCCAAGTTTTCTTTAATTCACTTTTCTTTGCATTTCTGTGCTGTTTCTTCCTCTTTACTGCTGTTTCCAGTTCTTGCCTCGGACTCCTGATTAATACCCTTTTTTCCCTTGCTTTATCCGGTCCCCAAATCCTACCTCTTGGGCACCCTCAACCACTCTTACTATTTCATCGTTCTATACAAGCACCCTTGTCCCCCTCTTCTATCCTGTCCCCAACCGGAGCTGCATCTAGGCACCCACCAACCAACACCCCAACCGTGTCCAGCTCCAGTCCCCCCTCAACTCACAACCTACCACCAATTACGTGATCCAACCATCGTGCACCGGGTAGCGCTACCCGGCGTTCACTGGCAGAGTGCCAAGTGTCGTCGGCAAGCGGCACCGAGAAATAGCATTAGTAGAGAAGCTAGAGCGTTTTCGCAATATCAGCCAGGCCGAGGTATGGTAATTGTGTCGGGGGCTTACACCCTAGTAGGCTTGTTTTTATTTCGAGTATGTTGCCGGGCCTCACTCGTTGATGCTAACTCTTCACATGACATTCGGGCGCGTTTTTGCGCTTTATTTTGCCATTTTTTGGGTGTTAGGTTATGCTGTATTGGGCAATACGAATACATTCAATGATGGCGCGCTCAGTTATTTTTCGAGCAAATTTGCGATTTGTTCGTTTGACATGATGATCTGTGTCCTTTGCGCGGTGATCGTTGTTTTGCGCGCCCTCCAAAATCTTTGTATCTAAGCTTTCTTCATCCTTGTATGTATAAACGTGTGTGATAGTTCTTCAGCAAGTTGTTCTGTTCCCTCGTTCTTCGTCCGTTATTTTCTACCAAAAATGTAGATTTTATGCCAAGAAAGTTTTTCGCCATGTCATTCGGCGTCCCAATGCTGGCCACGTCCGGAAAACCAGGTGCAGCGGTGCGGGTATGGCGCAGTGGCAGTTGGTGCTGCGGTGCGAAAGAAGCTCGAGAGTTCGATTCCCCGCAGAGGAACAGTTATCCTCTCCCCCCTTACTTCAATTGTTTCTGTGGTAATCTGGTGCGTGTACATATCCAAAGAGTCAAATCCGCCATCATCAGCATGCTTGTAAGCAACGGCGCTCCATTGGCTTTTTGCCAAATGGCTCTTTACCTTTGCCAAGCGCAACCACACGCAGAACTAGCGCATTTTACCACACGGACTGCTTCTAACTCTCTCCTTTTCTCATAGAATTTTCGAATTCTGGAAGGGATTTTCCTGTTTTTTAACGTTTGGAAAGTTTGGAAAGGGGGTAAATTGAGGTGCACAATGACACACCAAATCTTCAGGTCCCTCTGTTGTGCTGGGAGATTCCCGGAAGAAGATATGCCAGGCTTTGGCTGATCTTCAGACCTGTTACACTCCACTCTTTGTTACTTTGTTTTCAAGGCCGTTGAAGAAGCGAAATGCTTTGAAAGTGAGGAAGGCACTTTTCGCGCATTTGAGCGATAGCACTTTGACGGAGCTCTGGCAGTGTACTGTGATGGCGATAGCAGATTCGGCAGTTTTATTGTGATGCGCTACCATGCTGTGCTCAATGTTTGCCTGATTGTTGACCGAATTTTATCCAAAAAAATTGCTTGGGAAGACGAAATCTGCAAAAGCTTTGTCATCAAAGCGAGCCAAGTGCTTTCGTGATCAATTGTGCATGTTTCTTGGTGGATCAAGCTGCTTAATTGTGGCCGACTAAAACTACCCGCGCACCCGACTATGCACACTATAAAAGTACCATTTCCCCACAGGGGACCACTGTTGTTCTTGCTGGCCTCCTTGTTATTTTCCGTCGTCTTACTAATCGCCAAAAGTTTTCCCGCGTAAATTCATGACTCGGGGTTCTGAGATGCTAGGAAGCTGAAATTTTATGGGAATGTTCCCCGTCCAAATAGGTGCTAATGAGCTCAAATCCAGCCCCCGGGTAAGCGTGGTACCGTTCTACCATAAATCCATACATCGCAAAGCCTGCTGTGCACAGTTTCGACCGTCAACAATCAATACACAACGATTGTCCATCACTTCCCCTACCAATCAGTCGTGTACAACTCACCCGACCTTCGCCTCACACTCAAGCCATTCTTCGTTATAAAATCTGTTCGTCGACGATTTCTGGTAGAGATAAATTGGCTTGGTACATGACTTTTCAACTTGTCAAAAGGTTTGTACCACATTAACTTGCCAAAACTGTCTCCCCCACCTCCATTCACTATCAATTTCTATCCTTCCAGTCTTAAAACATATGGAATTTAGCCATGCTGAATTTCCTTTAGTTTGCACGGTCCCCATTTTTTAAGGTATACTTCGGCCCACCTCTAGCCGCAAATTACCACTTCACAACTTCGGCCTTCCTTTCGATTTTGCTTGGAACGCCGTTGTTCCTGGCTCTGGTTACTACCCTCGTCCTTCCCCCACAGGACCTTTGAGGCCCGTACTGCCTTTTACCTTATTTTTGGCTGTCTTCTGTGTCCCTTCCTATCCATTACATTTCTATTCT